AAAATTTTTTTTTGAAAAAGAAAAACCTTCAATTTTACAGAAAATAATGTGAGAGTATTAATTCTTCCTGTCACCTTTTCAGAGGATGGTAAAATATCTTTGCGAATCTGCAGTCATTGAGCACATTTCTTATGGTGTTTCATAATACTTTACTGCAATATTTAATAGTGTATCATATGAGTGGTTTTCTGAAATGCATCATGAATATGTATAGTGATTTTAAAATATGTCCACACACTCTTCCTTTCAAGAGGTAAAGCCTAATTTTCCTCCCCTTTAGTGTGAGCTGGACATGGAACCTCACCCTTGGTGAATAGAATAAAGCAGAAGTGATGGTGTGCTATTTTGGAGACGAGGTCAGAAAGATCTCATGACTTCCCCATCACTTTTTTTTCTTTGGTCTGAGGGAAGCCAGCTGTCATGCCACGAGAAAAGGTCCACATCATGAGCCTCCGAGTGTGCCATCTTGAAGGTGGATCTTTAAACCTTCAGATAATTACAGTTTCTTCTAACATCATTACTGTGACCCCATGGTTCAAATCCTGAGTTAGAACCATCCAGCTAAGGTGCTCCTGAATTCCTGACACAGAAACTGAGAGACAAGAAATATTTGTTGTTTTAAGCTACTGATTTTCAGATAATCTATTACACAACAGCAGATAACTAATTCAGTGTATATATCGTTGAGTCCATCTGAATGTTGTAACACGGAGAATAGGTGCCAGTAGTCCGATGTAGGAGGAACTTATGAAATCAGGATTAATTCAGGCAAGTGTCAATATTTGAGAAATTTTCTCTTTTTATAACCTAACTACTTTGTTAACTCCCTGAGTTTATGGCATGTTTTAAATCATTTGAAACCGAAGTTTCTAATAATCATAATTACTTACTGCTGATTAAAAAATATCATATGTTAAAAAAAGAAATTTCAATCCCATGGTTTGGACATGCAAGAAGTATAGATAGGAGGTGTTTTAGTCGCACAGCTCAGGCTGCTGTGATGAAATACTGTAGACCAGGAGGCTTAAATGGATTTTCTCATAGTTCAGGAGGCTGAAGTTCAAGTGCAAGGTGTCTGCTACTCAGTTTCTGGTAGGGGCTCTTTTTCTCTCTTGTAGACAGCTGCCTTCTTGCTATGTCTTTACCTGATGTGGATGGGGAATAGGGTGAGGAGAGAGATTTGTATCAAGACCCTACTCTTATGATCACACTTAACCTTAATTATCTCCTTGTAGACCCTCTCTAAATACAGTCACAATGTACAGTCACTGTATCTCTAAATACAGTCACAATGGCAGAGAGGCTAGGGCTTCAACATATGAATTTTGGGGAAGACAATTCAGTCCATAGTATTAGGCGTTGAGATGGGGATGGGAAAGCATATTGTTGTCCAAATTCTCCTTTCCTGATGTTGGGAAGTGGGGCAGTAAGTGGTAGAAGGAACCCAAATAGCATTTGAGGCTTCTATGGGGCTTCCATTATCCAAAACTGTTTGTGTCAAAGCAGTTAAACAAAATGGGGAGCCACGGCTGCTGAAGTAGCTGTAAGTTGAGGTGCAAGGCCAAAACCAATATTGACAGCAAGAGTATGGAGTCAGGGATCTAAAATCTAGGGAACAAGGTCAGAGGGCAGGAAGAGAGAATGAATGCTGCAGGTAGTTCTTGCAAATAGGCATAAGCATGAATAATGGGCTTATTTTTGCTGCAGGCTGGTGCATGGGAGGACTGGCTACTCCGATGGTCTGTTTCTACTCACGCTGAACATTTCTGGTACCAAATATGTGGGATTTCCCCTTTCACTAATATTGGACACCAATTGTCCAACATTCCAGACACCAGCCAGATGTCCTACAACTTTGTTACTAATTACCTGGAGTTAGAATTAGATCCCACAGGTAAGGGCTCAGTCCCACAAGACTACCCCCATTTCAGATGCCAGTCAAGAGTCCTGGGCTACCACTACTTCTGACCAACCAACAATAAATAAGCATTCCTACAACTCCTTCCTCAGACTCAATAATTGGCTGGAATGGCTCCCAGGACCCGAGAAAGCATTCTACTCACATTTATCAGTTTATTATGAGGGATATTTATATAAAAGATTATGTAAGGATATTTTCAATGGATATAGATGAATGGCCAGATGAAAAGGTACATAGGGAAAGTCTAGAAGCATCCTAAGCTCAAGAGCTTTTGTCCTGTGGAATTGGGGCACTCTACTTTCCCAGTACATGGTTGTATTTACTGGCTCAGAAACTCGCCAAACCCCAGAGTTTATGTTTTGTTTTTTTTTTTTAAATGGGGATTTTATTACATACATATGGTGATTTAATAGATCATTGGCCAATTAGTGATCAATTCAATTTCCATCCTTTCTCCCCTTCCAGGAGGTCAGGAAGTTGAAATAAAAGTTCTAATCCTCTAGGCGTGCCTTGGTCTTTCTGGTGATCATCTCTCATCCTGAAGCTCTCCAGGGGCCATAAGCCACCAATCATCTCATTAGGATAAAAAGGGATACCCATCACTCTGAAGATGCCAAGGGTTCTGTAAGCTCTATCAGGAACCAGGGATTAAGGCCAAATATTATAACCAAAGATGCTTCTATCACCTCTATCACCCATGGAATTATGAGGGTTTTAGGAAGTCTGTGCCAGGAACTGGGGGCCAAATATATATTTTGTACTATATCACAATACCCCAACCACATTAAATGGGACAGATATGGAGTGGATAGTAATTCTAACGATGAGAGCAGGACTCAAGGTGGCAGGCAGAGAAAGAAGGATCTAGCCTGGTTCCTGAGTAGGCAACAGCTAGGGAACATGTCAGGCCTAGGTCAATGCCCTGTGGTTGGGCTAAACTCTAATTGCACCCCTGGCACCTAGAATTACAAATATAAAACAGACAGAAGCCAAGGCCCAGGCCAAGTCAGTAGGATTAGACAAGAGTCATTTCCAATAGTTCATTTTTTTATAGGGTCTTTGTTCTGACCAGGGTACACTCTCAGTATAGTGAAAAAAATTGGTTAAGCCTCTTAGTTCTATTGTTTTCCACTCCTTCCCTGCCTCTCTCAGATGTCCTGGACCTACTTGTTTTATTCCTTCCTCCTGCAACCCAAATATGATCTCCTGAAAGATTCTATGGCTAATGGATTCTAACAACATCTGAAACACAAGGGCTGAATCCCCCAGGGTGGAGTTTTGGCAGCAAGTTAAAGAGGTATTATTTTGAACCTTCAGAGTAAATATTCTCTCAGCAAATCTTTCCACAAATATTTATCAACACTTGTTAGGTATCTACGATGAACAGACACTGTCTGTGCCATAGCATAACACTGCGCTGCTGTAATAGAAATTATAATGAATTATAATTGGGACTTCACCTTTGTCCAACTGGAGAGTCTTATAAAGAAGACGCATGAGAGATTAGAGGAAGGGAAGGTTGCTTTAAACAGAGCAGTCAAGGAAAATGTAAGAAGCAGGTAGTGTTCAGCTGTAGCTTTAAAAATGAAAAGACTTGGGTGCCTGGGTGGCTCAGTTGGTTGGGCATCTGCCTTAAACTTGGGTCGTGATCCCAGGGTCCTGGGACTGAGCCCCACATTGAGCTCCTGCTCTGCGGGAAGCCTGCTTCTCCCTTTCCCTCTGCCTGGTGCTCCTCATGCTTGTGCTCTCTCTCTCTCTCTCTGTCAAATAAATAAAAAAAATAATGAGAAGACCTTAGATATTTAGATATGGAAGGAAGGATATTTCCAAACCACAACAGCACAAGGTAAGTCATACAAAATAGCACCTGTCAGGTGTGCCTTGGGAGGAGCAGGATAGTCTATAAAAAGAAATGGGGAACTATTCTTTCCTACTTCCAGTCTTGTGTGACTTATGTGTGCACAGTCGTGAATTCTCAAAATACACAGTGGTATGTTGTTTGTGCAACAGATTTTTCCCTTGGACACAAAATTATATATTTTTCTTTTTTTAAGATTTTATTTGAGATAGAAAAAGAGAGAGAGGGAGTAGAAGTGGGGCGGGGTGGGTGGGGGAGGAGGAACAGAAGGAGAAGGAGAAGCAGACTCCCCGCAGAGCAGGAAGCCTGATGTGATGTGGGGCTCCATCCCAGGACCCTGAGACCATGACTGAGACTATGACTGGACCAGCTCTATGACTGGAGCTGAAGGCAGACGCTTAACCAACTGAGCCACCCAGCACCCCACATTTAAGTTTTCTGAGGAAAATTCTAAACTCTTTTGATGACTTTGATTGTAAGTTTATTGATCAGAGATCAGCCATATACTCAGTGGTGCGTTATTGTTGAGCAATGGGGTGATACTTACCCAAGCTTGCAGACTGTACAAGCTGAAACGTGTCCCCCTCAAATTTGTATATTTAAGCCCTAACACCCAGTGCCTTAGAATGTGACTGTATTTGGAAGTGATTATTTAAAGAGGGGGTTAAATTACAGTGAAACTGTTAGCATGGGCCCTCGCCCAATCTGACTGGTGTCCTTATAACAAGAGATTTGGATGCACAAGGAGACACCATTGACTTGTAAGCACAGAGGAAAGATCACATGAGGACACAGAGAAATGTGACCACCTGTAACCCAAGGAGAGACGCCTCAGAAGAAACAAAATCTCCTGTCATCTTGATCTTGAACTTCAGAATCCTGAGAAAAGAAGTTTCTGTTGTTTAAGCCACCATTTGTTGTATTTTGTTATGGGGACTCTAGCAAAGAGTAGATATACTTCAGCCTCATCTTTAGCCACAGAGGTAGACATTCACTGAGTGTACCTAGCCCAGGGCCCAGCATACACTAGATCTGGTCTGTCCGATACAGGAGCTGCTGACCACATGTGCACTTAAAATGTAGCGAATACAGAGATGTGATGTACTTGTAAAATACACAATGGGTAAACCCAAAAATGGGTTTTTGGAGACTTCATATGAAAAAAAGAACACAAAATGCTCTATTAATATATTTTATATTGATTACATATTTGATCATACGTGGGTATTTGGGATTAAACAAAAGATATTGTTAAAATTGATCTCATCTGCTTTTTAGTTTTTTAATTTTTATTTTTTTAAAGATTTCATTTATTTATTTGACACAGAGAGAGCAAGAGAGACTGCAAGCAGGAGGAGCAGCAGGCAGAGGGAGAGGGAGAAGCCAACTCCCCGCTGAGCAGAGAGCTAGATGTGGGGCTTCATCCCAGGATCCCGAGGTCACACTTGAGCCACCTAAACACCCCTCATCTTTTTTTTTTTTTTTTTAATGTGCTACAGGAAATTTCAAATTACATATGTGCTTTGCCTTATATTTGCTGTAAAGTATTGCACTAGATGTTTGAAAAAAAAATATTTTGAGGGGTGGAAACTGTCATTTTCTTCATGCTTCAGGTTTGGGATTAGGAGGATTCTAAAATTCTTCCCCTGGCAACAGTGCAAAAAAAGATCCAAAGACGAACAGCTGAATCAAGGGTGTAACACAGAGGAGAGCCAAACTTTCTGGATTTCTCTGATTTGAGCAAATCCATGCAGCAACAATGACCAACGGAAGAACGAGAGGTGGCAAAGACAGTGTTTTAAAGCCTAAGGTCAGAGGGGTGGGGAATGCAGACACAGGAGGCTGAGAAATCTTTTCCGTGATTGCCTATGCTCCGGACGGCAGCCTGGTGTATTGCACGGGGTTCTCTGCTGAGGACAACAGCACCACCTGTAGCTGATTTGAGCAGAAAGTGAATGACTTAGAAATCAGGATAAGGCACAGAACTGCTGAAGTGCCCAACCAGGCTTGTTTGTGAAACAGGACAGAGCCAGAGGACCAGAAAGGCAGCCCAGGTCACCGTGCCTGAGCCATAGGTTAGGATGGCACTTTGACCCTGCTGTTCCAGGCGCTCAGGGCTCCTCTGAGGGAGCCTTGGTGCTGGTGCTTCTCTGGACTCTGACATGCATGGCTCCGGGGTGCTCTCTTTGCGGCCCATACATCCATCTAGTTACCTTTACACGATCAAAGTCACAGGTTCAAGGAACTGGCTTGTGGGAGGCTGGTCACTGCTACACCCCCCCGCTGCTTGGAGCTGCAATTGGGATGATCTGGCTCCTTCACTCCTGAAACAGTGGCATCTGCCTCCCACCAAGACCTGCACCCTGGGGAATCAGCCACATGTGTCATGGGCTTGAATGACTGTAGATAACAAAATCGGAAAAAAAAAAAATTCAGATTAGGATGAAGACATGAATAATCTTTTCCGCCAGAATTGTCCTAATTTGTGGAGAGCAGTCAAGTAGGCTGGGACTCCAGGACTAATTCTTACTCTATACCACATTGCTCGTTGCTGTAGCAGTTTTTATCTGAGTTCTACTTAAGACCATGTTTAGTAAGCAGTATGTAATTTATTCCATTACGTGGATCCTGCCCTCAGAACTATCGTCATTGTTTTTAGATAAGGTCTTGAATTAACAGAATCCCTACATGTATTTTATAAGTCACTGAACAGAGTGACATTATTAAAATTACAATGAAGCAACTATCTAAGTTGAAAAAAATGAGATAAACAGCAGATGTTACAGGATAGTTCATGAAGGTATATACTTTGTACTCTTTTATGCAGAGGAGCTTCTACTTTTAAGTGTTTCTACTTTCTATTGTAAATAAATCCTTTTTCCTTATCCCCCTCATAGGATATTGTGATTTTTTAAAATTAAACTTCTATTTTTCTGTATCGAGATATTAAGTCATTATTTAGACCTCCAAGTTATACAGGAATTTACCCATGTTTTGTATTAGAAATTGTCAGGTTTCATATTTTACATTTAGAGCTCTATCCATTTGCAGTTTGTGAAGCACAGATCCAAAATTTGATCTTTTTCCAAATAGTCATCCAGATGTTTCCATAGGTTTTAAAAGTTCCATCCTTACCCCAGTGATTTCAGGCATCATTTTTACAGCGATTTTTTTTTTAAGTTCGGTTCAACTGATATGTATGGAGTACCTACTGCAGTTTGGACACTCCACTTGGGAAGTATACAGAAGAAAAAGTCTTGGCCTCTGCCCTTGTGAGGGCTGAATTCAGATTTTTAAAAGTAGAGCCATTTTCTCGAGATGACAGACTACAATGAGACTTATCAGTAACTTTTCATTAAAAGGCAAGATCTTTCATCTTTCTCAGGAGACCATCCGATTTTTTAAAAAAGATTTTATTTATTTATGAGAGACACAGGCAGAGGGAGAAACAGGCTCCCTGCGGGGAACCTGATGTGGGACTCCATTCCGGTCCTCAGGATCATGCCCTGGACCAAAGGCAGGCAGTAAACTGCTGAGCCACCCAGGTTGCCCAGACCATCCGATTTTAATCATATTTTTCACTTTGGGAAAATGAGAAATTTGCTGTGGCTCAAGTGCAGCTGTGATACTCAGACACACTGCTCCTTTATTTTTTTTTTAATTTTTTTTTTAATTTATTTACGATAGTCACAGAGAGAGAGAGGCGCAGAGACACAGGCAGAGGGAGAAGCAGGCTCCATGCACTGGGAGCCCGACGTGGGATTCGATCCCGGGTCTCCAGGATCGCGCCCTGGGCCAAAGGCAGGCGCCAAACCGCTGCGCCACCCAGGGATCCCCACACTGCTCCTTTAAGACAAAGACTTGTCTTTATGTTCAAAACTCATCTGAAATTTGAGAACTGAGAAGCACTCCTTTTCTTGTTTCTATCACACCCCAATCCACAGAAGCAAAGGAAGCTGAACGCATGATTACTTGTCTGATAACTGCTACTTGCCTTTATCTCACCTCTTGAGCAAACCTGATTCCTGTGTTCAACAGTCCACAGATCTCTCTTCCTCCACTTATATTTAGTTCCCTTTCTCTTAGAAACTTTCTTTTCTAATGGTTTCCTGAACATAGATTAGAAATTTGAAACTAGGTGTTTTCTGTGTAAGGAATTAACTTTGATATATGAACTAATAGGAACTAGTAATATATTCTAGGGATGAGAACATTTTTTTTTTTCCGTTAAGTATTCTGTGTTTCCTCTTCTATAGAGAACACAAGGTATGCAAATATTTGTGGTGTGCCTTTCAAACACAGGTACAATGACGTGTTACAGGATGACGTATGCTGGGTACTGGTTTCAACTTCTCAGTTTCTTGCGTACGGTATTTTTTTTTTTTTTTCTATTTCCACCCTGGTACTTCCCTTCTCGTTACCTTGTTACGCATGTTATATACATATCACAGATATAAAAATCTCAGAATTGGTAGGGGGTTTAGCATTCATTTACCATTTGTGGATTATACCCACTGGTTCTCAAATGCTGGCTTAAGTTATTATTAGATCATTATTAGAAAGGACGGACCAGAGTGAGTTCTGGAAAGATAAATCTATCCAACCTGCATGGTTACTGACTTGTATCATGGAATGGTGGTGGTAGAGAAGAGTTCAGACATGTGCTGTACTGGAAGAAGCAGCAATGGAAGAAAAAGCGGCCCATATACAGGGAACTACATAACTTACCATCCAAGCCAGAACACTTTTTGAGGGTGAAAGGGGCACTATTAATAATTTATATTAGAACAATAGACATAATAAGCTGGGACTGTCTTTGGTCAACCCAAAATAGATCTATAGTAATTTAAGAGGAGAAAAAGCAAGCACAGCTATTGTATACTAGGAACACAGGGGTAACAGAAGGGCTTGAGAACCTCCTTTTTTTGGGACTGCACAGATGGGAGACTTTGCCTCCTAGGATTACTGTGATCCTGAAACTTACATTTAGGTTTGTAGTTAAGGGACAAAACAATCTGATTCCAAATAGGGCTCTGAAGATGAAAACTCGTGTGTCCTATAGCCTTTGGGTCTTCTCTTTGCCATTTTGGGGGTCTCCATCCCACGGGCCTGCAAAGAAAGATTTTTGGGATCAGAAATGCCTTCTCAGCAGCCACTTCCTTCGCTCACGTGCTCCAGCACGCAGGCCTGAAAAGCAGCACAGAAGTGACTTCGTTTGAAGACACCCCCCCTCCCCGCCCGCGCCACCCGCGCCAAAGTCGCGACCGGAAAAACCTCCCTCGGCCACCCCCACCACACTACACCACTACTGCGGCTGCGCCGGCGACGTGTGGCCCGCAACCAAGATGGCGGCCCCGGCGTCAGCGCCCTCCTGCCCTTTCCCATCATGGCGGCAGCCGGACCCGCCTCCCTGGGCACCGGAGTCATGTGACCCACACAATGGCCGAGCGCCCACTGCAGGCTTCCCGGCAACGCCGAGGGAAAGCCATGACGGCCGCCGCGGGTTCGGCGGGCCACGCCGCGGTGCCCCTACTGCTGTGCGCGCTGCTGGTGCCCGGCGGCGCGTACGTGCTGGACGACTCCGACGGGCTGGGCCGGGAGTTCGACGGCGTCGGGGCAGTCAGCGGCGGCGGGGTGAGCGGCGCGCGGCGGATCGCGCGGCGGTGGCCGGGGGGGGGGGCGTCCCAGAAGCCCCCGCGGCGGTGGCCGGGGGGGGGGCGTCCCAGAAGCCCCCGCGGCGCTCTCCAGTCGCGGTCCCCGCCAGAAGCGCGCTTTGGACTGGCCGATGGACTCAGTTTTAATAGAGGATGCGGAGGCCCACCGAACAAGTGACTCGTGTGGCTCGTCCTTTCACCCGGGCGCCCCGCCTCCCTTTGCCGCAGAGACGGCATTCCTCAGGGTCGCTCCGGAAATGGCCAGGGAGCGGGGGAGCATCACTCCTCCCGGGAGGACGCCCCCTCCCCCCGCAGAGGGTCGGGCAGGTGGGGGGGGGGTCGGGAGCCCTGGACCACTACTGCAGGGTGCGGTGGGCTGACGTCAGAGGGGCCAGTGCACAGCACGTTCTTGTTTGGGGGCGCGACAGGTGCCTCAGGGCATCTTTAGGAAGGTAATAGGCCACTTGGGACTCCCCCCCCCCCCCCCCGTTCTTTTGTTTTTAATGGCAGGCTACATTAGGATCAACCGGTAGTCTAGGATGGTTCACTGTTTCTTGGGAGTCATTAAGGCCCAAGGTGGGGCGAGTTGCCCCCTCCTCCCCCCCAAAGGTTGGTGCCTCTGTGTCAAATTGGTGGCAGTGTCTGTGTGCAGGGAGGGGGAGACTGCACCTGGTCAGCAGCCCAGGTGGCTCGCCACCACCCTTAGGGGGTATGAGCATCACCTGGTATGCTTGGTAAACTGCACGCCTCATTCAGACTGTAGTTCCGGGTCGGGGGCCTGAGAACTTGCATGTTGACAAATAACACCAATTGATTCTCATACTAAGTAGGGAGAGACCTTTTTCTAATACGTGAACTTAATTTTAGAGTAGTTCTAGATTTACAGAAAAGTTTCCAAGATAATACAGAGTTCCCATACGCCCTGCAGCCCTTTTTCTGTTACCAGCATCCCCCATCCCATAGGTAAGGTACCTTCTACCTTTGTCACAACCAGGATTAATAACATATGGAAATCCACACTTCGTATTTCCTTCGTAGTTACCTAATGCCCATTTTCTGTTCCAGGATGTCATCCAGAATACCAACTGCATTTAATTGGCATATCTTAGTTCTCTCTTGGCTGTGATAGTTGCGGGGCGGGGGTGGGGGGTGGGGATGAGTTCATGTTACCTGGGCATTCTGTAAGATTTAAGTGAAGGGAGACGTGAGGACCATTTCCAGCTTTGTGTAAAATTGTGTGGGCACAGCTGGTAGTTGTCTAAGTTTCCTAGTCATGTTGACAGGTGGCCTCTAGGCCTGGGAGCTTGCTTTAGCAGTAGCATGATTCTTCTTGGCTCTAACAAAATTTATTTGCTTCTATCACATGCCCACGATGACCTTTTTCCTGTCTTTGTTTCCCCCCTTCCGTTGTACCCCAAATCACAACCAGAGCTAATTTTCTATGATGTTAAGGCCTAACTCTTGAATGAGTTGTTTGTTAGGTTGAGTCAGATGGAGCTTGTATATTCAGATGCATTTCAGAACTAGCTTGACTGCTTGCTTGCTGAATGGATGTTTTGTGCTGATCTCAGCCTACCATAACCCGTGTTGTGGCTCGATTGGCCCTTATGGTTCTTAAATTATGGTCGTAAGATGTCCTCGGCAATAACCACCGGGAAACTTTGTTTTTTTTTTTTATTATAAATTAATTTTTATTGGTGTTCAATTTACCAACATACAGAATAACACCCAGTGCTCATCCCGTCAAGTGTCCCCCTCCGTGCCCGTCACCCATTCACCCCCACCCCCCGCCCTCCTCCCCTTCCACCACCCCTAGTTCATTTCCCAGAGTTAGAAGTCTTCATGTTCTGTGTCCCTTTCTGATATCTCCCACATATTTCTTCTCCCTTCCCTTATATTCCCCTTCACTATTATTCACATTCCCCAAATGAGTGAGAACATACACTGTTTGTCCTTCTCCGATTGACTTACTTCACTCAGCATAATACCCTCCAGTTCCATCCACGTTGAAGCAAATGCCACCGGGAAACTTTGAAAAAAAAAAAAGTTTTATTATTCACAGATCCTGACAAGCACATGGCACACCTTGGGTTACACAGCAAGGTTGTGGGGAAAGGAGGAAGAGAGCAGGAGCTCCAGTGTGCAAGCCCCTGAGGTCCTGTTTTTTAATGCAGGCTCACTCACTGGTGACTTTAAAACTTAAAAAGGGGAATTTAAACTGCAGGAAGAGGAAAAACAAGCAACCTAAATGGTCAGTTACTGAAATCAACCAAGGTCTTTAAAATAAAGAAGGCTGAGTTTCCCCCTGTGGGCAGCCTTGTTCTTGGTCTAGGAGTGTGGCTGGCATTGTGTTTCTTTGACATAGCCATCTTTGAAGTGGATACCTTTTTTGAAGTCTGCCCTCAGGCATTTGCATTTCAAAAAAGGAAAAAAAACTGTCAGGGTTTCCACTACAATCCACCTGATGTTAGGCATCAGAGTCAGTGCTGACCCTAGATATCAGATAGGTTAAAAGCCAGGGGTAGGGCATGTTGTCACACAGAAAATACACATCTAAGTAGGATTAGATAGCACTCCTATAATAATTATACAGACGATAGTCTGAAATCCAGTCTGTAGCCATTGTACCAAGCTTAAAGGGTCCTGCCATGAAACCAGGTCTGTGATCCTGGGGCTCAAGAATGCGTTCAAAGACTTGGGTAATATTGTGAAATATTTAAACATCTTTGACCATCTCATTTAAACTGGTTTGATCAGATAGGCTTTTCTAAGTGCGCTTTGCTGGATTTTTTTTTTTTTTTTTCCACAAGGAATCTCAGATTGGACTCTCAAAGTCTCTCAGGGCTGGCCAGTCACTTACAATACCTGCAGATGTGAGTGAATTCCTTTCTTAAGGTCTCCCAAATATCCTGACATTTTTGGGCCTCCCAAAAAGTGGCCTTTCTTAACTCACCTGGTAAGGCTGCCAGGAAAACTTAAAGGCTTAGAAATAGCCACATTAAACACCTTGATGGGAGTTCATTACAATGGAATTGGCGAGGATCTTTGGTTATTTCTGTGACATATAACATTCTAGATAATAACTACAATTATAAGTGACAGTATTATACCAGGGACATAGTAGGTATCTAGGAATTTCATATGATTTCTGGAACACTTATATCAATCACACATATCCACACAAATTAACCTAAAAAAGATTTCTCATTACTTGACAAGGCTTTCCATATAGTTTAACATATCAGATAAGCCTAATCAGTCTGTGATCTCTCTTTTTATAAGAAGGAGCAAATCATTTGAGATGGTCCAGGACCCTCTGGAAAATCCCAAAATTAGTTAAAGTTTAAAAAGACTTCATTTAGAATTTGATTCTGGAAGTTTGTCAGAAATATCAAAAGGCTTTAAAATACTTGATTATGTAGAATCATAGATCACTGTGAAATATTAGTTATCTATTTAAATAACTTTCACCAAAATTACAATTAAAGACTTCATAGGCAAATACAGAAAGTTATATAATTTATTGAGAAAAGAATGAAACTTAGCTCTTTAAATAGAGAAGACTCGTTTTCTTAAGTAATCAAAGACATGATAGCTTGAAAAATAGGAAGTTATTTTGATGAAATACAGAATCTTATTTCCTAGGCAAATTACTTAAAAACCTTACAGTCTTATCAAGAACAGACCAATAGTCTAAGAAAAGTGTCCTTTTAGCAGATGAAAGAAAACTAAGCTTTAGTTTTTAGAAGTACACTATTTATTAAAGCTTATTTAAAAAAGTTTATAATAAATTATTTTTAGCTAGCTTGCCTACACAAGATAAAATTCTCTCTCCCTCTCTTTTATTTTTTTTCCTTTTCCCTATTTTCTATATCCATTTAATTTGTCTATTTTAGGACAAAATTACTTTCATTTGCTTTAAGAAAAATGCATCTCCATACCTCATACCTTAGCTAAAATACATCCTACTTTCCTTGCCTAGAGTTGTTTCTCTTATTTCTTGTATGTTTAATTACATATATTGTTAGAATCCTTAAGTCTTAGAAACGTTAATTTCTAGTGAAAACTAGTGAGTAAGCAGTTGTAAACTATTTACTAGCACTTTGTATATTGGCAAATTTATGAGTACATTTCATAATTTCTAGAGGGATATGCCTCTAAAAAAATAATAACAGTTTTTCAGTATAGCACAGGACGTGTTTACTAACAGATCCAGATATCTTTACCTTCTGTTAACAAGAAACCAAAAGTAGATAAACTTGTGTTCAGTAATTAATGTTTCAACATTTTATATTTGGTAGAGATCTACATATTTAATGACTTTCTATCATCGAACTTAACTTGGCAAAACTCTAGGGTTTCAAGTTAGCAAAATGATTTGGGTAACTTTTTAAGTATACATACCATAAAACATAATTACTGTTGAAAAGTGGATGCCTTGGCAATCAACGCTTAAGTCCTACATTTGCATTACAAAAAGAAAAAGGCAACCATTGTGGCTTAGGCTAGAATGGATGACCTGGTCTATAGCTGCTCTGACCTGCTTTGTGGGGTGGAGGGCGTTTTAGAGTGGGGAGAGGCACAACTTTTCCTTAACCCAACTTATTCTTCTTGATTTTTATGCTTTTATTTTCTGATGTTGCAACTTTACTCATAGGTGCTGGAGTATATTTCAGGGTAACGTGGACTAATTGGTCAATGTGTGTGTGTGTGTGTGTGTGTGTGTGTGTTTACTACATTCTTTTTATTATTGTGGTTTAAACCTAGACTAGCCAGTGTATCATTAAATGAGGACCCATCTGTCCTAGTATCTTTACTTGTGGCATTAAATCCAATATTTAAACTTGCTGAAAAATGGAGGTCTTCATTATTTTTTATTTATTTATTTTTTCCTTATTTTATATTTATTAACTCCATTTAAGATTATTTAAATGAGAAGAATGTTGCATGACTTAGTAGGATACTCATCCATTTGATAGTGTCCCTGTGCATAGTGCGTTCCTCATCTTAGAAGCTTCATAAATATTGATTGAATGAAAATGGTTGCAAAACTATATTTGCACGTCACTTTAGACTTATTTGTGGAGTCCTTGGTATGTTGTACAGTTTGTGGCAGTAGGTTTGGAATGTTCTTACTTTATCCTCCAATCTGATAGGGAAGGCAGTATGGGACAGTAGTTAAGAATGTGGGTTTAAGAGCAGATTGTCAGGGGTCCCATCTGGGCCCTGCCATTCACTGTACAGCCATGGGCAGGTTATTTAATCTCTCAGTGTCTCAGTTTCTTTTCTGAGGAGACCTTGAAACCTGGTGGGAGCATCAGGAGGATAGATGTAAAGTGCTTGGGATGGCATCTGGCACATGATTATTTTGGTTAATATCATCCTGTTTCATCAGAAGTAAGTTGCATGAAAAACATACTTGGGTATAAAATGTCTGCCATTTATTGAGAACTTACTGTGTGTCAGCCCTTGTGCTACAGCTTCTTCCTGGGCTGTTTGGAAATAGCTCCAGGCCTTTTTCAAGGAGGGTGACTGGTAATTTGTTACTCCTTGCTGGTGCATTTCAACATTTGGCTATACTACTCTGAACTATTGCTATTGACTAATTCTTTTGCATTGAGAATGACATAGGCTTGTATAGGCTTGCAGTAGCACAATGATGTGGTGTGTTTGCTCAAAGTTTGCATGTTCTGTGTTAAGGATAGGAGTGCGCGGAGGCAAAATAACCTCCAAACAGCCAAACGTATTGTTCTAATGACATACTTCAGGGTGGGAAGCATTGTTTCTCTTTGATCAAGGCTGGGTTATTGTGCATATACAGTGTTCACTCACTTACAGAGTGTCTAATGTTTGAGCCTCCACCAGTCTGTAAGCTCTTTGAGAATGGTGACTGTATTTTTAAAGACAATTTGTACAATGCCTGTCATTTAATGAGAGCTCACCGTGTGCCAGCTACTGTGCTATGTCCTTTACATACATCTTACCTTAGCCTTAGAACAGCTGAAGGAGTTCTAAGGAGTGGGAAAGCCTACTTTACAACAGATCACCTAGCTTGGTCACCTGGCTCGTAAATGATGCAATTGGGATGCAAGCTCCTTCTGACTCAAAGCCTCCTCTATTACTTTGTCTGTGTCTATTATTTTGTCTATGCAACAAACAATACCATAAAAGATATTTAATGTTGACTGAATAAGAGAAGAAACGGGGGTATGAACTTGAGTAAGACATAGTTCTTGTCCTCAAGGAACTCAGAGTTGAGACAGAGAAGTGGGGTGGTGAGTAGGGTGCAAGGTTAGAAGAGTTACAGTAGAGTTGTAGATTGGAAGCCAGGGGAGTGCACAGGAGAGCCACCTACAACAAATATAGGGGAGGAACAGAAGGGGACCTTCCCTGAAGAGGATGCTTTGGAGTTGGCCACATAAGGGTGTAGAATGCACTCCAGACAGAAGAAAGAGAAAAAGTAGTTTGATATATCTAGATAGAAGGCATGAGAGTGGTACTGGGTAACGTGTAAGAGTTACTATCCAAATAGTTAAAGATTTGGGTATAAAAGGGAGCAATTTGAACTTTATCCTGAAAGCTCGTGGCAGAGGAGCAGTCTTGGCAGGTTTATACAGAGTGCCTTTGTGTTTAGATTTGTGTTTTTGGAAGATTAATCTGGCAAGGAGTGTGGAGGATAGATTACAGGGAGGCAGATGGGAGGCCCTGAGACCTGGTCTCAGACTAATGACTGAAGGGGGCCTGGTGAAGGAAGTAGGGTTGAAGTGAGGGGATGGATAAGGTGCCACTAGAATTCAGTGGTAGCATATGTGAGAGTGGGAAACAGAACATCGAGCCCCATAAGAGTTGGGTGTCTTACCCTCAGTGCTTTGAACATAGAGCTGTCTGGCTTCTAAGCCAAGGGACATGCCGCTGATTCAGGTTAAAACCTATTTCCTTTTTATTTTTAAGATATTTTATTGATTTATTCATGAAAGACACAAAGAGAGAAAGGCAGAGACACAGGCAGAGAGAGAAGCATGCAAGAAGCCATGCAAGAAGCCCGGTTGGGACTCACCGGATATCCAGGATCATGCCCTGAGCCAAAGGCAAATGCTCAACTACTAAGCCACCCAGGCATCCCCAAACCTATTTCTTTTATTCCTTTGTGCATAGTGCTCCCCAGAAGATATATTATTGGTCCACTGTTGGTTTTGTGATTTCTTTGTTGAAGCAGTCGTCGGCCGTGGATTAGGTGTGATCACGTGTTGGTCTCTGCAACCTGCCGCTCTGTCTTTTCATGCATTCTGATGCCAATGTGAGGTTTCCTTGGCCTGGGGATAATTGTGTACTCATGCTTAATAGTAACAGAACTTAGAAATCTCTAGTAAAGATGGGGAGAGTAGTGATTCCTTTTGGTATTGCTGCTTGTAATAATTTCTTGCAAGATAATGAGTGAAAAAAATTACCTGATATTAATCCTTTCCATCCTGGCCCCCAGATATTGTAGTTATCAAATGGTCTTAAGATAGAGAACCTGAGTTTCATTTCTTCTAATAACCACTCTCTGAGTTCAGGTCCCCAGGACAAATCTGTGATCATGAGGTTCATTAATAGACTTGCTTGGCTTACTTACTGCCCAGTCAACCCTCATCTCAGTAGAAGAGAAAACTGCTGAGGCTTGGATCCTGTGTTTTAGCTTTTGGACAGACAACAGCCCTATTTGCCCAATGATGGACAAAATAAAGGCTGGTAAAAAAATAACCTGGGAAACGACTTTTCACCACTCAACTTTGCCCAAGAGCTGGTTAAACACGGGCATGTTGTGTGGTGTGCATCAGCACTATGAAAACATGTTCATGATTGGATTTATTTGTACTTCTGAACTTTTTTTTTAGGCAACCTCCCGACTTCTAGTAAATTATCCAGAGCCCTATCGTTCTCAAATATTGGATTATCTCTTTAAGGTAATGAGAAAATAATTATTTAATGGCACCTGTGATATTTTTGATAAACTATGGTGAATTTCAGTGGTAGAATTGATCACCTTCCCAATTCTAGCATTAAAAAAACAAACAAACGGCAAATTACTTTTGGAAGAAGTTGCTATTTATTCGAAATTGGGTTTCTGATATTTAAAACCAAAGACAGTAATTAGTAATTGTCTTAATGTACTTTGTTGTTCATCTGGTGAATTACAGTATTAATACTCCTGCTTCTTTCCCCAGCCAAACTTTGGTGCCTCTTTGCATATTCTAAAAGTCGAAATAGGTGGTGATGGGCAGACAACAGGTAGGAGATTTGGGAAATGGGATTGTTTTCCTTCAGTGTTTTAATCTATACCTAAATTTAAGGACTGTGAATCAGAATATAAGTGATACCAACATTTTTGATGTTGATTATTGCTTATGTATAGTTTCTTATTGTTCTTTTATTACTCTATTAAAAATTTTATATCAAAATCCTCATTTTTCTTCTCATAAAATAGTATTTGGACTTTAGATTGCTTATTTAATGGATTAGTCTGCAGCAAACCCACAGTTTTTAAAAAAACTATATTCAGTAGGAAGCATAGAGACAGTTTGGAATTTTTATTGAGAAGTTCCAAAAAGAACTTTTAACATAAAAAACATGTAAAATGTTATTATGTTACTAGTTTTAAATAAAATATGTGGCAAAAATATAAGTTGTCATCAGTATTTCAGATGTACAGCTTTTTTTCTTTTAAAAACAAAATTATTTTTAACCATTAAATTTTCAATCTTCACTTATCACCATTTTGATTGGCTTTGTGTCGTCCATGTAGTCAGTTGATGCACAGGAAGAAAAAAATTCTCTCAGTATTAATACAGCTTATTATTTATAGGCCAGATTCCATTTTAGTGAACTTTACAGTATTGCCTGTATACAGCATGTTCTTGTTGGTGACTTGGGAATAATTTTGGTTAAAAAGATATGTCTGCATGGTGGTGTTAGTTTTAATTAGTAATGAAAGAATGAAATGAAATAGAATATTTCATGAAATGAAATAGAAATGAAAAGAAAAGGGCAAGGCCCCCTCCTTGTGAGGCCCTTCCAAACAAGGGCAGATGTTTGTGAAGTGTGGTAACACGTGAGGACTGGTATCAGCTACCTTGACACACCTTGGAAGTTAGGATAGGATTTTTTATAGAGGGGATGTGCAGTTGTATACTCTTCCCTTTCTTCTCTCAAAGCTCTGTTATCTTGGTTTAACGAAGCATGTTATAGGCTCAAGGCCGGGGGTATGAGAATGGGTCTTAGGGGCCCGGGGATTCACAAGTAGGATTGAGAAGCTGGAAGTTGAGGTGATCTGAAGTCAGTGTTGGACATGGGGATTTGAAGACCCAGAGAGACCAGACCAAAGCCTGGGAGAATGTGGTTCTAGGACTTTTTAATTACATGAATTGATAACACTTCTCTCAATACTGCTTATAATAGAAAGTTGTGGTTTTGCTTTTCAAGACCTTTATGATACTTCGAGTAATGAAAAACATGAAATAATATGCTTTGATCATCCGTCCTCAAGTGATATAAGATCATTCTTACTTGCTCCATGTCAGGATTGGAACTGGAATGCGTCTTCTTTGAAATGTGTATATGTATAAGGGAGAGCGGCCCTATGAAACACCATTAATGGATGGTTTCCTTTCTCTTTTGCTCTCTCCCATGCAGATGGTACTGAACCCTCCCACATGCACTATGCATTAGATGAGAATTATTTCCGAGGATATGAGTGGTGGTTAATGAAGGAAGCTAAGAAGCGGAACCCTAATATTATACTCATGGGTAAGAAGTGAAGTTTGCCATGCTTTTGCATTCCATTTAACTTTTAAATTCTGAGTTCTGTTTGTGGAGTCATTATTAATACTGAGGCACTAATAATGTTGTTAATACTACCATCATCCTAGCAGCAACAAAGCATGTGCCAGGGTCGATCATTTCTTTGCCCTTATATTATGTCTGCTCTTTATATATAATAACTTTGGAGTGAGGCATTACTCTTCCCATTTTATAGAAGCAGAAGAGGCTTAGGTTTTGCCACCTTGACTTAAGGTGAGATAATTAGTAAATGGCAAAATCAGATATAGAACCTAATTGCATTTTGGTTGTTTTCGTGATGTTAAACTATTACTCTCAACAAAATTTCTTATCAAAATTTGTAAAAGGGAAATACTATCTAGAAAATTGTTTATTAGGTGTAGTAGTGTATCCCAACTGTTTGTATAATTATGGATTACATGAAGTCATAGACCCCATTTCGTGAAGAGGTTCCCATGAAAGTGTTTGTTTGAACCTCAGCAATGTGTTGGTCATTGTTCTAGGCATTAGGGATACCAAACAATCCAGCCCCCAATTCCTGCCCTTGTGGAGTTTAAGTTCTAGTGGCAGGATCACTGGATTTCTCAAATAGGACTACTATGTTCATTTTATAGTTCTCATGTAGCAGTGTGCAGAACTATAAGATACTGCAAACATACACAGTGATGGCATACAGTTATCATTTGAAATGAATTTGATTTTTTGAAACAAGCTCACACATCTAGTCTGTATGAGATCAATGAGATCCATTTAATAGGCTTGATTTCAAGTTATTTTAAAAATCATTTTTAACAAAGGACAAACATAAGTTTTTCTAAATTAAAAAAAATGAGGAGTTAGTGTGTTCTTTATAAATGGTCTTTTGTAAGAGATTCCAGGAAATATTTTAAGCAGTAAAAAAAAAAGAAGCATCATTGACTTCAGCACATACTCACCCATTGGGCTGTTTTCAAGGTCAGTTCTCATTTAAATGTAGAAAATCTGGCATGCTGAATCATGTTCTAACAAAGACTTACACATGGTGGTTCTGTAGAATTCATTTCATTGTTCTAAAATGTTCCAGTATTTTAATGTCACATTTCTTATGGGATATACACTTAGACATTCCTCTCAAGTTTAGAAAAATAAGCATTTTGTTCTTTTGTTCATTATGGTTTTTTTCAGTGGTGAGTTAGATTGGTAATACATATTAACAGTTGAGGAACTTAACTGTTGAGCTTATTTTAACATATTAGTAACAGAATCAGGATTTAGAATTGTAATTAGTGCTTCTCTACTATTCTCATTTTCTTACTTAAAAATAATAATTAGAGTGTTGGAAGAATGTGGGTTATTTGATCTATATCATACGACAAAGATGTATTTTCCTGTTGAGTCATTGGGATTTATATTGATGTGATGACAAACTAGCTTTGCTGAATTTGATTATCTGAATAGTTTTTTAAGAAGCCTTAAGTTTTAAGAAGATGTACTAGTGAATGAGGAATTTGTATTATACTTAACCTGTAAGTTAGGCATAAGCTTTTCAGAACTCTTTGATTTGACTTCAGAGGAAAGAAATTGAATATCAAATATCCCTGTAGCAGGCGGTGGTCTTGTCAAGTTAAATTGTATGTTACATTTCTTTCTATTGGCAAGTATCTTTGAGAGAGCCTTTGTGTTTTTATTTCTTGAAAGAACATTTGGAATTATTGAGGCTGACTTTAAGGATCATTAAGGAGTTGCAGAGTTCATAAATGGGAAGAGATTTTGGAATTTGTGCATGGCATGGCATATAATCTTGAGTAAGATCTGTATTGGCTTTTTGCTTAGCGTGAGTTCTTTTGCCTTGTTTTCACTGTGCCAGCACTGTTACACTCACTCCACCTTTACCTTTTCCTTTCTGCAGGGTTGCCATGGTCATTTCCTGGATGGCTAGGAAAAGGTTTCAACTGGCCTTACGTGAATCTTCAGCTGACTGCCTACTATATCATGACCTGGATTGTGGGTGCCAAGCATTATCATGATTTGGACATTGATTATATCGGGGTTAGTAATATATGTAAAGCTGATTAACTTTTGGACATTTATTTCTAATTTCTTAAAGTAATTTGATTCTTTGGCATTTTGTTGACCAACCATTTTGTGTCATGAGACTAATTTATTCTATTGGCATCTGATAACAAAGTAACTACATGTGACCTTTTATTCCTCCTCTTTGCCCATCCAAATTCTAACCTCTTTTGAAAACTGTGCTAAATGTGTACCTTCTCTGAACTTTTTTTTTTTTTTTTTTTTAATTTTGATTTTTGGTTGGGCAGCCCTGGTGGCTCAGTGGTTTAGTGCTGCCTTCTGCCCAGGGCGTGATCCTGGAGACTCGGGATCGAGTCCCATGTCGGCTCCCTGCATGGAGCCTGCTTCTCCCTCTGCCTGTTTCTCTCTCTCTCTGTGTCTCTAATAAATAAATAAAAAATCTTAAATTTTTTTTTTTTTTTTGATTTTTGGTACCACCCTAGCTCATGTTCTCCTTAAAAGCTTTCCCTAGTTTCTCTGGTCATACAAGAATACTATATTTACCATACAGTTCGATGATTAATTTCATTTTGCTCTATGAATCTTCTGTTGTCCAAAATCAGGGGGTGGCACACTTTTTCTTAGTGGGTTAGAGTGTAAATACTTTGTGGGTCAAAAGGCAATATGAAGGATATTATGTAGGTAATTACATAGCCATTTAAAACATAACCATTTAAAACCGTAAAAACCAATTTCAGCTCTCAGGTTATAAAAAATACAAATAGTGGGTAGGCTGGATTTGGCAGGATGGCTAAAATCTGCCTACCCTTGTCTTAAACTGTTATTTAACGCCTTTTAATGATTGAAAAAATGTAAAATATGATGTCTTTCCAGCTGGTCTGTTGGCAGGCTGGAGGCACCATACCTCACAGAACCTCACAACAAATACATGGTGGTCTCCACACATGTTTGCTTATTAATATGCCATCTGTCAAAACTGATTTAAAAAGTGTTCTTGCAGTTAGCCAACAATTATTGAGCTCCTCCTATGTTGCAGGCACTGGGACTGTTATATTCTAGGGATACCAAGATTATAAGTCCTTAAGGAGTTTAGTGAGAGAGATAGGAACTGGGATAGATTAAACTGTAAAATCACAGGAGGAGAGAGGACCTGAGGATGGGCCAAGGGCTGTAGGCAGCCAGGAGCAAGAATATACTTTTTTAAAAATTTTTTTTCTCCAAATTCTAATCGAAAATTAGTTTGTATTTGAGAACTTTCATATGTCAGGGTATTTTTAACCTATAGTGAAACTAAATGTAGGTTTCGATCTAAATAGCATTTTATTACAGTAAAGTCACACTCAGAAAATGTTTCTGGTAAAGAATGGGTAATTCACACTCTTTTAGACTCATATGCTGTGGTGAGGAGCTTCTTTGATAAGAAATACTTTCCTGTTATCTCTAGAGTAAAGTGAGTGATAGTGCCTGGACTCTAGGCCATCTGTGTCATTAACAGTTTTCTCGGCGGCAAAACTAATGTCATGGAAATTCTCTTTCATTTCTAAAACCTCATCCCTCATGATTCTAAACCATCGAGAGCTGTGTAATTTCCCTTTATCTGTCCTCATTAAGAATTTGCCTTTGTGATATAGCATATCGTGTGATCTTGTGTATGCTTAAAAAAATTACTTCTACAGGATACTTTATTTTTTAAAAGATTTTATATACTTATTAGAGAAAGAGAGAGAGAGTGAGAGTATGAGTGGGGGAGGAGGAGGAGAGGGACAAGCAGATTCCCCACTGAGGGGCAGCCTAACACGGGGCTCGATCTCAGGACCTTCAGGTCATCTCCTGAGCTTAAGGCAGCCACTGTTTTTTTTTAAAGTTTTTTTTTAATTTTTATTTATTTATGATAGTCACACAGAGATAGAGAGAGAGAGAGAGAGGCAGAGACACAGGCAGAGGGAGAAGCAGGGTCCATGCACCGGGAGCCCGACGTGGGATTCGATCCCAGGTCTCCAGGATCGCGCCCTGGGCCAAAGGCAGGCGCTAAACCACTGCGCCACCCAGGGATCCCTTAAGGCAGCCACTTAACCGACTGAGCCACTCAAGCGCCCCTACAGTGTACTTATTTATATTGGCATTAAATGTGATGGTAAGATCTTATAAAAATTATTATTATTTTTAAAGAATTTATTTATTTACTCATGAGATAGAGAGACAGAGAGACACAGGCAGAGGGAGAGGCAGGCTCCATGCAGAGAGCCTGATGTGGGACTCGATCCAGGGACTCCAGGATCATGCCCTGGGCTGAAGGCAGGCACTAAACCGCTGAGCCACCCAGGGATCCAGATCTTATAAACATTATTACAACACTCCTGTCTGCTGGGTCTCCAGTGCCTGACAGAGTCCCTGGCACACCTTACATTGTCAGTGTTTGTTGAATGATTGAATGGATATTCTAGTTTTAGAAATCACTGGAATAGGGTGCCTGGGGGGGCTCAGTCATTTAAGTATCCAACTCTTGATTTTAGCTCAGGTTGTGATCTCTGGATCCTGGGATTAAGCCCCATGTCAGTCTACTTGATCAATGTGGAGTCTGCTTGAGGGTTTCTCATCATGGAAATGAGTGACTATTTGAAAAATACCCACCAAACATTCCAAATATATGTTTTAAAAATAATATTCTAATGTAAAAAATAATAATTTAAAAAAGTTATGTTGTCTTCTAAATATCTATAAATGCAAAAACAGGATATTCCATAAAGTAAGGAACATTGCATTTTAGATGATATGAAAGATAATGAGAGCAGTGGCATCTTAACAGTAATGTCTACTTTCTGACAACTTTCAATTCAGGCTCTTTCACTTTCTGTTTTACAGATTTGGAATGAGAGGTCATTTGACATCAATTATATCAAGGTCTGTACAACTTTAAAATCTTTTTATCTTGTAGTTACTAGTAAATAATTCCCTTATGGTTCCATAGAAATTAGTATAGTAGGAACATTGTGTTTTTTTATAACACAGATATTTGTTTTGCTAGTTGTGACATAAAATTCAGGCAAAAGCTTAATCATATTTAAATTCCTGATTAAAGCATAGGTAATTCTTAATGAACCCCAGATTTCCTTTGTCTGAAGAGTTGTGTTGAATTTTCCTATCTTAAAATTCATTATTTATGGAATTATGATAATCATTATAAAAAAACTGCATCATGTTGGACTTTTAGGACTTAAAGAAATGTAGCTTTTCTTTTTTTCATTGTCAACAGGAAAGGAGGCAAAACTGAAAAAGAACAAAGACCATCATTTGTGGTATCAGAATTGCAACTTAGGGAGCACAGATTCTGAAGTAACCAAAAAAAGTGTCCTGCTTCTGCGGGGAGGGCAAGGGATAATTACATAATGTAGATAAAGAAGAGAAAAGGAAGCACTGCTAATTTGGGGCAGACCATTTAAGCCATTTCTGATTACTATCTCGTTGATTATTTTATTGTTCCTGGAACGTATTAACTTTAGGGTCCTCATATGACCTGAATGCCAGTTGTTCTGCTGAAATATTAAGAGCAACTGCTTATAAAACTATTGCCACCTCTGGCCCAGTTCTGGAGTTCATCAGTTGAAAGGAAAATGAAGCTTGGAAATGGAGTCTCTTTTGGCTAGAAATTTTGTACAGTTTTATATCTTATATCAGAATATCTAGTGTATAGCCTCACTGTTATTTTCTTTGGAATGCCTATTACATTGGAATGTTCTATATGTTTCTACCTGTTATTAGCAAATAGGTAGCAACTAACATTTGCCAAGTGTGCTTTTTCTTTAAAGATTTTTGATTTATTCGTTTGAGAGAGAGAAAGGCAGAGAGAGAACATAAGCAGGGGGAGAGGGAGAAGCAGAAGCAGACTTCCCACAGAGCAGTGAGCCCCATGTGGGACTTGATCCCAGCACCTAGAGATCATGACCTGAGGTGAAGGCAGATGCTTAACGCCACCTAGACACTCCTGCTCCTGTGTTTTATTGGGTCGCTTTTCCTAGTTATTTATCTCCCTTTTGTTCTTACTAGCCCCCTTATGAGGTAACTACTATTGTTGCTGTTTTTCAGGAAAGGAAAAAGTGAGACTAATAACCCTTCTGTCCCTGGGAAACTAGTGGCAGTTTTAACTTTTCAGGTGGAGGTATTCTCTGGTTTATTTACAGTACCATTTGACTTGTGTTTCCTCTAAGAAACATAGTTTTGTGGTTATATTTTATTTCAGTTCTTAAAAGAATTTCTTTAAGTGTATTATGTTTTTAGGTGGGTAATATCCACTAAATTTGTTTCATTTATTTATTCATTAATTCTACCAACAAGTATTGACTCAACACCAGGTTTGTCAGGCATTCCATATATGCTTAGAAGACGATACAAAATACTGATGCTGCCCAAAGGAATTCACATTTGAGGGCTATAGAGCTCTGTATGGACAACTAAAACACAGTCATCATTTCTCTAGCAGAATAATGACCATGCAGCATTGTTAGAAGGGGCAGAGAGGAGATGATCCTTCTGCCTGGGTGGATTAGGGAAGGTGACATGTGGTTGGAATCTTCAAGATGGGATGGTTAGGAACTCCCCTTGTTGCTAGGGCAGGGGCAGGACACCGCAAAGAAATGATGATTAAATGTAAAGGGATTAGGGGGAAGTGCAAGAGTGAAAGAGTAGACAAGGGGGGACTGAGCCTTGAGTAGGCTGATGTGTTCACTAGGGGAACAGCACACTTTCATGTGTAGCTGTGGGACTTGATGGGGTGGCTTGCAGCCAGGGCTGGGTAAGTCAGAGTCACCTTACCTCCAGGCTGCATGCATTATCAGTGAAGTGGTGAGAGTGTGGTGGAGGGGGCATCGTGGGGCTGTGGGAAGTGGGGCAGCAGAGCTGGTATACGATGGAAGCACAGGGTTGGTGTGGAACGTTGTGGCTTCTTTGAGCACAAGACTGATGAGAGCAGCAAGAGCCCAGGGTGGAAGCCAAGTTAATGCATGTGCTCTGTGTGACCCCAAGGCTGGGCACGGCCTCATGATAGGGTCTCAACAGTGAAGATGAGGAGCTTGTATCTACCCAGATGTGACATTTCACAGCTTATTTTTTTCCCTGTGATTACACATGTGCCTCTGTAGTTGTGTTCATTTGAAGGAACCATAGAATCTGGTTAGTCTGGTTTCCTTTTTCTTTTAAACTATGCAGCTGTGGTGGTGGTTTATTTATATTTTTACTATTATGAATCTGTTTTTGATTCCATTAAAGTTAGAGGGAAAATCCCTTGAAAGAATTTTTACCTCTTTTTTTTTTTTTTTACATTCCCATGAAGTAGGATATCTTCATAATAATGCCTTTTATTTTCCATAGAAGGCATGTTTCTATTGAGGAAATAATATTGATAGTATTATTTATCCAAGATGCTGATTTTCTTTTTTTTAATTTATTTTATTTTATTTTATTTTATTTTATTTTATTTTATTTTATTTTATTTTATTTTATTTTATTTTATTTATTTATTTTATTTTATTATTTATGATAGTCACAGAGAGAGAGAGAGAGAGAGAGAGAGGCAGAGACACAGGCAGAGGGAGAAGCAGGCTCCATGCACCGGGAACCTGATGTGGGTGGGATTCGATCCCGGGTCTCCAGGATCGTGCCCTGGGCCAAAGGCAGGCGCCAAACCGCTGCGCCACCCAGGGATCCCCCAAGATGCTGATTTTCAAAGATACTTCAGCTATTGTGGTTGTAATTCAATAGCTAAAGTCTCGTTTGTAAACTTTCCTGCGTTCTGTTTATCTCTCCTAAAGGTGTTAAGAAGAATGCTGAACTATCAAGGTCTTGATCGAGTGAAAATCATAGCGAGTGACAATCTCTGGGAGCCCATTTCTGCTTCCATGTTGCTTGACTCTGAGCTTTTGAAAGTGATTGATGTTATAGGGTAAGAAAGATTTTGCTTTGAAAGATTAACAATTTCTGATTGCTGGCTTTCCATACTTGACTATACCTTTGTTTTTGCTTTACTTTCCCACTTGATTACATTTTCAGAGGGAGCTTTCTTGTATTTACATAACTAAAGCATGTGTGACTGATGTTTCATTCCTTCCTCTTTGAAAAGTATGTACAGTTGACCCTTGAACAGCACAGGTATGAACTAAGCCAGTCCACTTATGTGTGGAATTTTTACGATACTGTATAAATGTATTTTTTCTTCCTTGTGATTTTCTTGATATTTTCTTTTCTCTAGCTTCCTTTATTGTAAGAATATAGTATGTAATACATAGAACAAACAAAATATGTGTTAATTAATTGTTTATGTTGTCAATCTTTTCTGCTCAACAGGCTATTAGTAGTTAAGTTTTTGGGGAGTCCAAGATTATATTCAGGTTGTCAAATGCATGTGGTTGGGGGGTTGGCATATTGTTAAAGGGTCGCCTGTACTTTGGGATCTTTTATGCCAATGAAATGTATTGGTGCTTTTCAAAAATTATGTTAACCTTTGGAGTAATAAAACATGGCTTTGCTTAGATTAAGGGACAGGGTAGTTAAATTTTAGAAATTACAAAAGGCACACCTCCCAGGTTGGGAGTTATTCTGTAAATGAACACTTATGTAAATGGTATGGCATGGTCACTGACCATGGCTTTTGTCATGTTTCCTTAGCAGCGTGGCTTTGACCCTGCTGTTTAGTCCAGCTCTGCCATTCAGCCTTCCTGAGTTCCAGTAAATTTTTTTTGTCTGATTTATTTTTTCCAGTTTTAATTGATATAATTGTATATCAATTATTTGAGAAATTTGACTTTTCTCATCTATTTCTCAAATAATTGATATACATTACTCTGTAAGTTTAAGGTATATGCCATGATGACTTAATTTACATAAGAGATGATTACCATGAGATGATTACCGTGATAGGTTTAGTTAATGCTCATCCTCTCATATAGATACAGTTGAAAGAGAAGGGAAAATAATGTTTCCTTATGATGAGAGCTCTTAGGATCTACTTTCTTACAATTTTATTATATACCACACAGCAGTATTAATTATAGTCATCATGCTGTACATTATATCCTTAGTACTTATTTATCTTATAGCTGGAATTTTGTACCTTTTGACCACTTTCCTCCAGTTCCCCCTTCTTCTACTCCCCACCTAGCAGTATTTTTTAAGTCAATTATTATTTTGTCTATTGTGATAACATATATAAATGTTTGAAAAATAGAATACACATACACGTGGAATGTGTTTTTTATTCAGTGAAGATTGCTTGGTCAACATGTGCCCTTTTTTTAAATGAAGCATTTTGAATGTGCACAAAGGAGGCAGAATAATATAATGAATATCCATGTTCCCATCACTCAACCTCAACTATGACTCCCTGGTTAGTTCTCCATCTGCATACTTATCCATTCTGTCATCTGTTGCCTGAAACTAGGTTCGCCACTTGGTGCCTATGGACCCAAAAGACACAACCAAGCCAAAGAAAAAGAAAAGGAAGGGTTTTACTTGCAACAAGTAAAGGAGAACCCTGGGAATGTTTCCCAAAGCAGTGTTTCCTCGAACAACCAAACTGGGGAAGCTTTAGGCTAAGGGTGCGTATATTCACAAAAGGGCTTTCACAGTGGGGCATTCAGCATAGAATTGGGGCAGAAGTTATCTTAAGGTGACAGAGTCCAGGTCACGAGGGTCAGCACCATCAATTTTGGTACCTGAGTGCTCAAAACATTTCAGATCCTGCAAAGATAGCTCGAGAGTGTGTGTCAGGTCAATCCTTAATTTTGAACCAGTGCTGCAAGATTTACAAACTGATTTGTTGTTCCCTGGTATGATTAGGTTATCTCCTGGCCTGATAGTGGCAGTTTGTTCTTATATTTTTTTGTTCCCTTAAAATTGTTATCTACTAAGATCTATTCTTCTGCAATTTCAACATATCTCAGGAAGTTCTGCAAGAAATGGGCTTTGGGCAAGTAGTGCCATTCACACATAGATCACAAGATGGCTGGGGGCCTAAGGTGACTTTTCTCATGACAAGAAAGCTTGGCTTGTCTTTCTTTTTCCAGGGACCCCTAGCTCTATATGCTTACAGTTTCTCTTCTTCCTCCCACATTATTTTGAAGCAAATCCCACACATTATTTCTTCCATAAACATTTTCCCATGTATCTTTTAAGATAAGGATTCTTTTTTTTTACCATAAACAATACCGTTATTACATCTAAAAATATAACAGTTTTTTGATACTATCAAATATCTGTAACTGTCATTTTATAGCTTTATCTGAGTGAGTCTAGATCCAGTTTAGATTCATACATTGTGATTGATGGATATTTAAGTCTCTTCTGATTTTTTGGCTCCTGCCCCATCTTTTTATTCCCTTTCATTTGTCAAAGAAACCGGATGGTTTGTCCTGTAAAGCATCTCATAGTCTGGGAGTTTATAGGTTTCATCCTTGCAGTTTGGTTTAACCTGCCCATCTGTCCTGTTTCATGTTGGAAATTGACAGAAGAATGATTAGTTTAGTTTTAGGCTTGCTCATTTATTTATTTTTGGCAAGAAAAGTAAGATGTATTAAACATTTCGTATATTGAAATTAGAATATAATTTCTGCCTTTATTTGTTAAAACTTTCATAAATAGCTCAGGTCTTTGAGGTCTTACAAAGTTGTATTGATTTTGAATATATTTGACTAGGAAAAAATATTTAAATGAAGGTATGGGTTTTGCTGTGTCTTCATGAAAAAGTGTTGGATGTTTAATTCATTTTATCTTTACTAATGTGGGCATCTAATGCAGCAAATATTTCTTTGAATGCTGCTTTAGCTCGGTTTTATTTTCTCATTTCATTGCACTGTGATCATTTAATGCTGAATGTATTTAAATTTTTTTTTTCAAAACCTTTCCCAGGAGCTTCTGTCTTATTATATTACAATATATTTTCTATCAGGATATAAGGGTTGAGTGTGTAGTATCTACCTTAGTGACTGCGTTGTTTAGGTATCCTGTATCCCAATTAGTTTGTTCACTGGAACTATCCAGGGTTACTGAGACCGTGAATTTCCTCTCACTAGTGGGTTTCAGTTTCACCTAGTTTGTGCTTTTGAAAGTTGCTCATAGATATTAATGTCTTATCTTCATTGTTATTTTGTAACTGTTGACTTTAGAAAATGTCATTCTTTGCCTCATTATGCTTCTTGGTATGAATTCTGCTTTGCCTGTGACTGAGATAGAGACCTCTGTTTTCTTTTCATTTATATTTGCCTGATCTACCTTTGCCCACATTTTCATTCTTTACTTCTCGAGGTCATTTTGTTCTAGATGTGTTGCTTGCATATAGCATAGATTTAGGTTTTGCTTTTTTCACTGCTCTAAAAATCTTCAGATTTCAATGATTGATTTAAACTCATTTATACTTAACAATATAACTGAAACCATATATACTTGATGATATAATGATGAACTCTATTCTGTATTGTCTTGTTATTTAATCATTTACACTATGTATATACTAATATACTAATATGTTGGTATATGATTTGTTTTCTTTGCTCTTTTTAAGGAGGTATCTTTTTTGTTATTTAGCAAGGTTTGATTTTTGGTTCTACTGATTGCATTTATACGATACTTCTATACCAGTCATTCTCAGCTGGGTATAATTTTGCCCCCCAGGGGACATTTGGTAATGCCTGGAAATATTTATGATTGATACTGGCATGGTGGGTGGAGGCCAGAGATGTTTCTAAATACCCTTCCCACAGGATAACTTCCCACAATAAATAATTAATTATTCAGCCAAGATGTCCACGGTGAAGTTGAGAAACTGTTTATACTAATACTCTTAGTTCTTTTTCTATTTAGTTTTTATGTATCATTTTACTATAAGCAATGTGAAACTTATTTCATAACTTTCTCTTTCTCCCTTTCTTGCTCCTACAATGGAATTTTAATTACCCGAATTTCTTAATCTTTGCATTCTTACACGACCTTAAGCTTCTACTATCTTGATTTGTCAGCTGCAAGCTGTAACCTTTAACTCCCAGCCAATTGGCAAACTTCATTTACATTTCATTTTCTTTCCTCCTCCTCCAATTTTGCATTTGCCGTATTAGTTACACATTATCAGAACACACAACATTTATGTACTAAATTACTCTGTTAGTCTAGTTCTACCATTAAGCATATGCAATGTTCACCTTCAAGTCTTTTGCTGGCTTCTTTAGATTCTTGGGTGTCAGGGCTTAATATTTACTATATTTTTCAGGAAGTGCTAATGGGGGCGATATTTCTTGATCTCTTCCATGTTTATTGACTCTTTATCTGTGGCCTTTATACTTGAAGGACAGTTTGGCTACATATAAACTCTCTGACTCACATTTTCTTAATCCTTTAACATCATAAAATTTACTCCATTGGTTACTTAAAATGTTGCTGCTAGGAATTCTGATGCCAGACTTCTTTTCTTTCTTTTTTTGTTGTTTCCCCCTTTGTGGACCTCTCACTTAACTTCATGCAGAAGAAGCTGCTGGTGGTCTACCCAAACCTATCCTATTCTTTGTGGGCTCAAGGCAAGACTCTCTGCATTCTTTGGAGTTAAGATATATCAATACAGTTAAGTTCCTGGTGATGAAATGAGAGCACAACTGATAAGCAACACCTGAGAGTTTATACTCTAGGATCCTAGGTACATTATCTTCTACCCCTTTTCCTTCCTACTGGCTAGAATCAGAGGCCTCCATTTGACCAAAGAGCAGATTTCAGAGCTGCTTCCACCAACCTTAACTCTTAACTTGGGTGATTATATAGAAGTAAAATAAAGTCTTTTTCTTTAAACCACTATGTTCTCTGTAGTCTGAGGCCTCTAAACAATATTTCTTATTTTTGTGTAGGCATTCTATTTTGTTCCTGGAATTCCATATCTTTGCAGAATGGAGATAATAAAAAAGCCTC